ATTTTGATTGGTCATAAAATAAAAGTCTGCATTTTAACTGCATTTAAATGTAACAATTCAAATTTCAATGTCTTTGAAGCTTCTTTTTGTAAAACAAATGATAATTTCATTTCTGTAGGTTTGTTACAAATAGAAATAAAAAAAATGTTTCATTACAAGGTCAATGACAAAATTAAAAAATATATCATAGAAAAGATATTAGTACTTAAAACATTACTCAATATATATTTTTATGGTTGCTTGTTGCTTAGTGTTATATGCAGTCACTATAACAAAGAAAATCAATAGTTAAATGTAATATATAAACCTCAGCATCCCTTTATTTTGGCATACTGAATAATAGCGACTGCCTCAGTATACTATTTTTGTTTCAGTACAATCGGTTACTACTAACATCTTCAACAAAGAATGGAGTAACCATATGTTAGCTAAGTCATCAAAGACGAAAGCAGCTACCAGCCCATTCTATCTTCTCTATTGTTCTTTATTATAAGAAACTGACCAATCGTATGTCAAAGCAGCTATGACATCATTGATGTTTGCAATGCAAGCAGGAAAAAGAGAGAAAGAAATCCTCTCCCCTTCCTCCTTGCTTTCAATTGAATCTATATAGTGCTGCTATGACATCACAAAGAAAATATCGATTAGGAAAGATTTGCATTTTACAGATAAACACAAGGAATGAGAGCCTGATATCTCTGACAGCCTGTCAATACCTGGAGCTAATTGGATGTATTTTAATTGGAATATGGAAGGCTATGAGCCAAGCAACAAGCAGCCTTAAGAAAAAAATGATTTAAAGGATTTGTCACAAAATAGCAGTCACGACCATATCCTTTTCATTTCATATCTACCGTTTATTTAATAGAAAAAGTTAAAATCCAGGCTTTTATATCCTTTTCAAGCTTAAAAAAAAAAAAATATGAAACAGTAAAATATGTATCACTATAATGGTTCATTTTTCTTTTGTTAATCTGACAATGTTTCTTAGCAAATACCAATGAGATACCAGATGAATGATGCAATATAGTGAGTGATAAAATGTAAAATTCTCTATTTGATGTCATATAATACCTCGGACATTTCAGCACAGAATATTAAGAAAAAAAATTGTTGAATTAACTAAAACTTCATACTTGTTCCTTATTTGGTTCAGTTCAAAACAAGCTTCATTTCCCATATTTACTACAAATTTATATAAAATGGAAGACAAAAGGAGCAGAAGGAAACATTAAGTAACATAACAAGGCAATAAAGTCACTAAGGTACAAGGTGTTATTAAGTGTGAGGAAAAAAAAATGATTAATTTGGATAAAACAAAAAAAATAGATAGCACATAAAATTGTAATAATTTTTTTTGCTATCTTTAATTACAAACAACAATTTAGTTAATGTCATTATGAGAAATATAGCATTTCAGAAAAAAAAGTAGGAGTCAAAATAGAGTGTCTTTTTTTTTGTCATTAAGAAATTTAAGAATAAAAAATGATTAAATTAATTGGATAAATTTATCTCGGTACACTGTGTTTAATATCCTGAATGTGGAACAAAATACATGAAAAAAGTGAAGAATATGAAAGTGACTTTTTTTTTTAATCATTTCTTCCCAAACAAGGCAATAAAGCCACTAAGATGCAAGGGATTACTGAGTGTGAGAGAATATGAGAAAAAAAAAATTATAAATGAGAGAGCAATAAAAGAACATGCATTAAGAAGAGAGACAACAAATGACATTGCATTGAAATTTTTTAAAAAATTGACTGAGAAACAAACTGGAATTCAGCAAGAAGTTCACAAGCAAGAAGTGTGATAAAAGAAACTTTTAACATAGAACTTATGGTTACAGCTAGCCATTTCAACTGTAAAATGATGAGACATAAGTGCCAATCTAGTACTGTGCTTAAATTTATAAAGTCTAGGTACCATACAGGAAAGTTTATCATAAAAATTACCATGAAAGTACATAACAAATGAAAATTATCTAACAATCTTTTGTAAACAGATGGCAGAACAGGTTATTTTTGTTTAGCAGCATATCAAACTATTCGTTATTTAATGCTGAAATCTAAATATTTTTTATGTATTTTTTGTTGAGATAATAATGGTTTTAGTGATACAAGTCTTACTAATTAACCCATAGCTGGGAGGAGAAGAGGTGGATTCATACTTTATGTATGGGTATTTGCACATAAGTGAATATAACAAACCTGATTGTAATTGGAACTTGGCTCTGCGATTAACAAATCCAAGCCATTAATCATTACACTATTTGTTGTGGAGTTATTTCGCAGTGGAGGCTTGTATTTGTACTAAATCGGTCCTAAATAGTTCGACGTACAAAATGTTAGGAACTTGATATAATAGGTATTATGCAGAGTAATCTTGTTGTGGTCGCTGACTACTTTCGTATTCGACTAACTGTCGACTACGGTCGTCCGACATCGACTGACCCTCGTTTCTCTTACTACTCCTACTTATATTAAGTGGGAGAGTCTATTAACTATAGAATAGGTGTGTTTCCCCATAACACTATTGCAGATCCAGAACCTGGTATTTTCCAACGGTCACCCATCTAGGTACTGACCAGGTTTGGTGGTGCTTAACTTTTGTGATCGTATGGGAACCAGTGTTTCAACATGTGTCCATAAGCCAGGGAGTGGAAGAGATAATAAAGGGTCAAACATTGCTTAGTGTTATAAGGGCGAGGAAGTTGTGGAGAGTCATGATCTCCAACATCCTGAAGGGACTTAACACATAAAAGAAGAGGAAAGAATATTTGGGGAAAATGCATGACTTATATGCCATCAAATAATGGCAAGAAACAAAGAAGTACTCAAGAAATTGTTTACACAAAATAATCTATAAACATTATTAAATTTGTCTCTCAGATCCTCTGCAACAATCTTTTTAAAACAAATAATATGCCTAAAGTATAAAACAATGTCTTCAATTTGAAATTTATTTTTTGTCATTTTTGACATTATTGACAAACAGTTCTTTTCTCTGATTATAATTTGAGATTCATTTTTTTTTTAATGAAATGATTTCACTATATTTTATGAACATTTTCAACTTCTTATTTTCTATGAACCTGAAAAGGCATAACATTGTCAAAAGTAATTTGAAAACTATTAAATCCACAAAGAGATACTGTAGATTTAGTTAGATTCTACCTGGATGAAGTGATAAAAATTAGCATAAAAATTATGAGAAGCTTACTGACTTATCAGTGATTCTGAAAGACCCAAGGTCAACAAGAGAACTGATGAGAAAGTTAAGAAATATGTTTGTAAATACTATTCTGAGAATACAGAATTAAACTAATAAAAAAATTAGATGAAATAAACCTGGAGAGCATATCAGAAGCTGGAAAAAGAGCTTGAAACACACTCAATCTGCAACACACATTAAGAGACAGGAACAAAGTAAATATGCCAAATGTAGAGACAAGGTCTTAAGAAAAATTAAAGAGAATTGTGTCAATACTATGCAAAAAAAAAATAAACAAAATAAAAATACCACCAACACACACACACACACACACACACACACACACACACACACACACACACACACACACACAGGCCAATAGAAAGAACCAGTCGTGGGAGGAGTGTAAGAGCTTGAAAGATGTCAATGTGGTTCATAAAAGAGACCAAGATATGAGTGTGAAACATAGAACTTAAGAAAATCACCTGAAAACGTACACTTAAATACACAATGATCCCTGGAAAGTGCAATGCAAGGGAGAACTGTAATCAATATCATTAATGTAATTAAAAGGCAAAAAATATAGGTAGGTGCAACATAACAAGAAGAAAGGATAACATATGGAGTAAAAAGTTGGTTTGACTGTTGTCCACTAAATAGCAAGAACAGTAAGTAATGGGGAGAAAGAAAATAGAGATATGAAATAGAAGGAAGAGAAAAACACAGTCACAGTCGTCATGGGAGGATTTAACTATGCTTTTGTCTTGCAAGGGCTGCTGTTGATGATCTCAATATAAATGCACTGAAATTATTGCCATTATTTACATCCAGACTACTGTCCTCATCTTTGTTCGTATTATCATATTTCAGCAGTTGTGCTCTCCAGCCTTCTTCAGGTGCTTCAGTGCTAAGTAAGAATAGCATACCTCTAGACATGGACAGCAAAATGTGAACAATCTACAAGTGCAGATTAAGTAAAGTGTCCATTTCAAAATTCCTTGAGGGTTATTTGGATCAACAAGCAACTGAAGAAGACTAGAAGGCACAAGAGCCCAACACATTGTAATAATCATAACAAGGATGAGGAAAATAATCTGAATGTAAATAATGTCAACCCCTTATCCAAGAAAATATGCACTGAAATAATCAGTATCATAAAATAAGCAATACCATTAAAGTAATGAAAGGGCAAAAAATATAAATGAGTGTAACAACAAAACAAGAAAGGATAACAGATGGAGTAAAATGTTGCTTGACTGTTGTCCACTAAGTAGCAAAAACAGTAAGAAAAGATGAGAAGGAAAATAAACATATGAATGTAAATAACGTCAACTCCTTGTCTCAGAAATTATGCACTTAAATGATCAGTGTCATAAAATAATTTTATTTTTTATTTGTTATTCATATTATCCTATTCATATCATCCAAGTAATATCATAGATTTGAACTATTTTTACTAATTTTATTTTATATCATATTATCAGCAGATGTCTGTTGTTTCTGGTCTTTTGTGAGCAAATGACATTTTTTGAAAAAGTCAACTTGAAAATGAAGTATGTCTGAATTTTATTTTATTTTATTTTTAGGTCTACATTTTCTGTTTTTTCTATTTCTGAATTGCATAAGTTTTGGTTTCAAAAAGAAGCGGTTGAAATAAAAAGCAGAGAATCAATAAGTCAATTAAATTTCTTGTTAAAATTGAATAAAGATGCTTTTAAATATGAGTGGATTAATCAGAGATGCTTTTTAATAATAATTTTTAGAAGACAGAAAAAATGTAACAAATATTATCAAGGGAGAATGAAATAGAAAAGGAAGAGAAAAACCATGAAAAGAATATTGTAGAAGAAAGAAGTGAGGAAAAGGCAAGTCAAACAAACCAGTGAAAAAGGACCAAGAAAAGATGGGAGAAAAAAAGGACATATGGAAGAATTGATGATAAAATCAAAACATATGAAAAAGGAGCTTGCAAAGAAAGGAGAGAAGGGACCTGGAGAGAGAGGGTCCCACAAAGGAGAAAAGGGATCCAAAGAAAAAGAAATCCAGTGTGAAATGATCGCATAAAGAAAGGAGAAAAGGGATCCAATGAGAAAAGAATCCAGAGAGAAAGAAGAATGCAAAGGAGGAAAGGAACCCAGAAAGAGAAAAGAACCCGCAAAAGGAAGGAGAGAAATTGAACCAGCAAAGGGAAGGCGAGAAAAGAACCCAAGAAAAAAGGCTTTAGAAAAGAACCCGCAAAAAGGAAGGAGAGAAAAGAACCAGCAAAAGGAAGGAGAGAAAAGAACCATAAAAGGAAGGAGAGAAAAGAACCAAAAGGAAGGAGAGAAAAGAACCAGCAAAAAGGAAGGAGAGAAAAGAACCAGCAAAAGGAAGGAGGAAAAGAACCCGCAAAAGGAAGGAGAGAAAAAGAACCAGCAAAAGGAAGGAGAGAAAAGAACCAGCAAAAGGAAGGGAGAAAAGAACCAGCAAAAGGAAGGAGAGAAAAGAACCAGCAAAAGGAAGGAGAGAAAAGAACCAGCAAAAGGAAGGAGAGAAAAGAACCAGCAAAAGGAAGGAGAGAAAAGAACCAGCAAAAGGAAGGAGAGAAAAGAACCAGCAAAAGGAAGGAGAGAAAAGAACCCGCAAAAGGAAGGAGAGAAAAGAACCAGCAAAAGGAAGGAGAAAAGAACCCCAAAAGGAAGGTGAGAAAAGAACCAGCAAAAGGAAGGAGAGAAAAGAACCCGCAAAAAGGAAGGAGAGAAAAGAACCAGCAAAAGGAAGGAGAGAAAAAGAACCAGCAAAAGGAAGGAGAGAAAAGAACCCAAAAGGAAGGAGAGAAAAGAACCCGCAAAAAGGAAGGAGAGAAAAAGAACCAGCAAAAGGAAGGAGAGAAAAGAACCAGCAAAAGGAAGGAGAGAAAAGAACCAGCAAAAGGAAGGCGAGAAAAGAATCCACAAAAGTAAGGAGGGAAAAGAACCAGCAAAAGGAAGGCGAGAAAAGAATCCACAAAAGTAAGGAGGGAAAAGAACCCGCAAAAGGAAGGAGAGAAAAGAACCCGCAAAAGGAAGGAGAGAAAAGAACCCGCAAAAGGAAGGAGAGAAAAGAATCCACAAAAGTAAAGAGGGAAAAGAACCCGCAAAAGGAAGGAGAGAAAAGAACCAGCAAAAGGAAGGAGAGAAATCGAACCGCAAAAGGAAGGAAAGAAAAAATACGCAAAGGATGGAAAGAAAAGAATCGAAATGGATGGAAAGAATATAAAAGAAGAAAATTTAAATAATAGTAAAAGAGATAAAAAGAAACAATTAAAAAAAACACGTCCCACAGAGATATGTTAACTCAATTTTCATTTTATTCTTTATGTTCTTTCTCAAAGAAGACTTGCAGGCAAAAAGACAACAAAAGCTGAACAAAGCAACTGCATTTCCCTGCTGTTCTATTTCCCATCCAACTGAAATCACAGTGCAATCAGAAAGAGGAGCCAACTGCAAACCTAACTTGGATCAGATCTGTTGTTTATCACAACAGCAACATTGATTCACAAGAGCCGAGAAGATGAAAATCCAATAATACTATTCTGCAATTTCAATATAAAAGAGAATGCCATCTACACGTGGAATGCATTTTGGACAATATAAAGTTTAATGAAGTTTTAAATAAAACAGGTTTAACAGGTACAGATTTGTATTTTCTTTTCTTTTTTTTTTTTCTTCTTACAATAATGTTCACTTTGTACAAGGCCCAAGAACCATTGAGATAGTGGGTTACAGAGTAAAAGGTGAGGGACACTGTTTATGAGGATATGAGGGAAGATAATGATTAACCCTAGACTGAAGGTAGCACTACCTTAAGTGTGTGTGTGTGCACACATGTAAAGGGGTGCTGAAAAGTTTTCAACTTTATCAAGAACAGATTCCAAAAAAGATTTTGACATTTGATCAGATTTTCTGAACTTTTTAGATGTTGCACATTCATGCATGTGTGTGTATATACATATGTTCCATTGAATACTATAGACATATTATGTCTACTTATTTTTATACTCATCCTTTCCAATATATATATATATATATATATATATATATATATTGTTATTGGCATCTGCTCATATCCAAATTGTCATCCTCTTTCCCTATTCCATTTCTCTCCCCAAATGGCAGTGGCAGAGATGGCTGTGAATCAAACAGTTTGACAGACCATTTGCATGAATTTGATTTAGGTTGACAACTCTGTGTGAGGGATAAGCCCATACACTTGGCCAGAAGCGCCTTCCCTTATGACTCAAAGGGGAATGAGACAGGCAAGATCTGGCAAACCTGATTGCATGGGGCTGTTGGATGCTTGGTCTGTTAATGTCTACCTTGGTTATGCTAGCTCAACTGGTGCTGCCTGCTTTCATTGGTTTGGCCATTGAGTTTGTCTAAATCTTTGCCTATTCTGCTGTTAGGATCTTTGGGGGTTGGTAGTGTTCAGTGTGGTGCTTCCTTACTACTGCCATGGCTGGCCCTACAGGAGTTGCAACTCCAGTGGCTTCACATTTGGTATCACTGTGGACAAGTAAGCCCTCTACCATGATAAAGGAACATTTTATATATATATATATATATATATATATATATATATGTAAGCAAATGTAAATGGATATAGATCCGACAGAATGAAGAAAAATTTGGAAAAAACAAATAAAAATCCTTAAATGCAATTATGTTGTTTAAAATGAATTTTGTTTTTATGTCCATCGTCTTTGTCAAATTGAATTGAATTGCATTTTAATGAATATTGTCCTGAAGAAGGTTTATTAAACTGAAACGTCAGACGTCGACATTTCATTCATTTTAAACAACATAATTGCATTTAAGGATTTTAATTTGTTTTTTCCAAATTTTTCTTTATATATATATATATATATATATATATATATATATATATGCTCATCAGAGTCTGTTTGAAGTCATACCTTCTATCCTATTATTACATCAGAGACCAATGTTGATAGCATGACATTAGAAGTTGAAATAATCCATATTTTTATTTTTGCCTTGTTACAGATAGCAGCTGAGTGGTAGTCTGGTAAAATGACATATGACATAAAAGTGTGTCTGAAGCAAACACATTTCATAGAATGCCTTCAAGCAGAAAAATTTTCACTCATTGATATTCAGTAATACTTGTCAAGTGTTTAAAGAGACCAAACAATGGATGTGAGTACAGTTAGGAAGTGGGGAGAGCAATGTATGTGAATAAAATTGGGTCATCTCTGCTAGTTTCATGAGCACAGCATGCAGGCTCATGTTACTGAGCAAAAATGTATAGCCAATGAAAGTGACTGTATAGAAAAATACTGCTTTGTTGCAAACTTGCTCTATCAAAGCAGTGTTATTATGCTCTTGATATCTATTGTATTTGGCATGGGAATAAATATAGGTGCCATTACTTTGAGAGTGCATCTCACTGACACACACACAGATTATATAAAAATATTTCTGGAAATCTATTTTCATTTAAAAGTTTTCAGATTTACTCTGATCAGAAAACTGGAAACATTCTCTCAAGATTTGTATTACAGAGGGAGCTTCTCTGAATTTCTTAGAGGAAACATGTAATTATTAATTTCTGAAACGTTAATAATGATAATGTTTTATCAAAGACATTCAGTTAGCTTATGGCTACTGCTACTAAGTGTAAACAAGCAACAAATATAAAATGCAAGTAAAACTAGTCAAAAAGTAATAATGATCTCAATGCTTGATGTAAGAAATTTAGACAAGTTAGGATAATTATGCCTACTACTACTACAAGCAACAAAAATTTGATGAATATAAAATAGAAAAAAATTAATACAAGCTTGCATGAATAATAAAATAGGTTTCTTGTTCTGTCTTTTATTTAGAGACTAATTTTTACAGGTATAGAAATAGGCTTTTTTTTTTTTTTTTTATAGAAAATCTGGACATATTTGAAATGCTGAAAAAGAAGAAATAGTAGAGGCAGAATCTTTGAGGTAATTTGTTTTCCAGGAATTGTAGGGGTCGCTCTTGTCCTGCTTTGAGAGGAGAAAAGTAAAACATACACAGAGAGGAGGAGAAGTGGCAAGAGGAAGAGAGAGCATAATGTTGTTGAAGGAAGAAAAAAAACAGAGTTCCATGTCAACCTGTCAGTATGAGCTGCACAGGATGTTTTTAATTTGTTTGTCCAACAAAGTGGACAAATGTTATCCCATCATTAGATTAGCTAACAATCTCAAACAATCATTTCAAATCTTCCCTGTTCATCGGCTATTTATATAATGTCAATAGTGGATCAGTTATACAATCTGCATCAGTGTACACATGTCCTTAATGAATTATCCAACCCATTCAAGAAGAAATAATTATTCTTACTTCATATTGCATTACACCTTACCAGAAAAACAAGATAGCAATCAAATGAGGTCAGATGAAGAGTCACTTACTATGGAATCTGATAGGTTTCATAATAGGACAATGTTGATTGATTTGAGTATTTTTTTTTTTTAGAGGTTATCAACCTTTTACAGGTTATTTAAAGGTCAGAAAATATTTTTAGATTGTAAGAATTTTTTTAAGATAATGATTTATGGATACAAGTCATACTAATTTATAGCTGGGGAGAGAGAAGAGGTGGATTCATGCCTTTTCCAAGGGTATCTGCATGTAAGTGAATATAACAAACATGACTAGAATTTGAACTTGACTCTCTAACTTCCAATTCTGAGCCATTATCCATTACATTACTTGCACATCCAAACTTACAGCACCTGGTATTCCCAAGTGGTGTCATATCTCATTACTGATAAGATACGACATTACTTAACTTCAGTGATCATACGAGAACTGGTGTTTGTATGTGATCTGGTCGTAATCATAATGAATGAAGAGCAATCAATCGCAGAAACCAGTAACTTGAATGTTGTTTCTAAGCAGCAAAATCTGACAAGCCCTTTTAGCCTGTCACCGTAAAATAATAAAATAAAAAAAAAAAAATGGAAAGTAATGTCATTATTAGGTTTAATTAATAGGGGGAAAAGTAACAACCCCAAAATGGCTACTATGACCGGAATGCTGCAGTTCCTCAAGAGATGAAAGAATTATGATAATGTATTTCACTGCTTATAAGACTCTCCAATGCATTAGACACCCCCCACTCCACACAGGCAAATGTTGAACAAAGAAATCGGAAAAAAAGTTTATCACCTTGTATATACTTCATAGCTCTATCCCTAATGCTATCCCTAATTCTATCCACTGAGTAGCATATTTCAGCATGAAAACCTGACTAATCATGACTAATTCATCATAGACCAAGAAGAAGTATCACATTTTATAGTAACTATTTAGAATGTAATAATTAGAAGAGAAATTAGCATGCATAATACATAATGCAGATGTTACTGTAGCAGAGAATTTCATTTATTGCCAATATCCCAGTATCCCAACTGTATAAATAGTTTCTCTCAAAATCTTCATTTAATTTTGAAACACTGGAATTGTTTTTTTATTCAAACGCTCAGAATCGGATGTAACTAGGAAGCAGATGCTCATCCCACACCCCAAAATTATAACTCCTCTCACTAACCTTCGATTCATAGAATGCAGAGTGGTTTTTGGAGAAATTTGATAGGAAAAAAATGCATTGTATAAGCAGCAAAATACGGTAAACACAAAAAAAATCTGAGACACTCACCTCAACTGAATACAATTGTTCTTCGCTTTTGTTGTCTTTAATCCTATCAAATAAATCCTGACAAAGCTGAAATCAGAAAAAAAATAGACAACAAAGATAATAAGTGAAAGACAAATTGAATACTAATAAAGCATAACAAATTTTGAATTGTTTTATTATGACAAATGAATCTTATTTCAATATAAATATTAAGTCTCCCTGTTTAAAAAAAATACTTTTATTGCATGGTTAATACGTGCTTGTTATGTCACTTGCTCTATTTGAGTTATCAATTGATTTATTTCTTTTCTATTGCTCATCAGCTCTTTGCAGGTTATTTAAAGCCATTTGGATTGTAAGAATTTTTTTTTTTGTGATAATAATGATTTAGATATACAAGCCTTACCCAAAAGGTTCTTATTAGATATGAATCCACCTTTCCAGTTTTCTTATCAGTTTCTTGATATTAAGATGAAATTCATCAAGGAAGGCACCATAGTTTTTTCCTACCCAAGTACTTTCAATCACCTCCAAGATCATTCCCATGTGTAAATTATAACAACAAACTTCTTGCAACTGTGATAAAATCTGCATTTCATGAGTGATGGTGATTTTCAAAAACACGTGTGAATGTTCTGTTACAATTTTTAAAAATTTTAAATTTATCCATTTTACAATATTTTCACAAAACAATCGTCCCCATATAAGGGAGCTAACCAGAAATTGGTAGAAATGCAAAATGGCATTAAATGTTGGTTAAATGAACTTCAACACATTGCTGCTACACCCGTAATAAATTCTGTTGAGTGTTGGTTCATTGCTTTTGATATAGAGGGCTCAAGAATTTGAAGTTTTTGTTTATTAATTTCATGGTGTAGCATATAGTTTTTGTCTACAAGTATTTTTCTGCATTGTAGAAAAAAAAAAACTATTATGCCTTCCTTGATGAATTTCATCTTAACATCAAAAAAATGATTAGAGAACTGGAAAGGATTATTATAAAAATAGCCATAAAATATATATATATATATATATATATATATATATATATATATATATAAGAAAAACAATACTCAGATATTACTGCCTTTCTGCAACACAAGGCTTCATGAGAACACCTAGATAGTTATGTTGCTGCCTCCCAATCTTTAAGCAGCACAAGTGATGAGATATTCAATTACAAATTCAATATGGAATTGATATTTAATTTCTTCAATATTTATATGTTATAACCTACTATAAGGTTGCTGAATAGAATAATCACACAAAGCTTGGTAATGAACGCTAATACTTAGGACAAGAACAACACATATAAGATTCGCCAGTGGCATGTAGAAGAAGTAGCCAACTGCTAGAAGTGAGTCAAGTGAATTCCACAATGAATTTCCAACTGCAGACCAACATACAGTACTTACTACTGTATCTTTGTGAATGGGGACATACCCATTATCGTCTGTAGGTATGCTACAACATTATATTAAAACAAAAAAGAAAAGATCAAGCAAGAGAGAAACTGAGACAAGGGTAAAGAGATAGACACACCCACACACAGAGAGACTGAGAGGGAGATATCAATTAATTACTTACCAGTGGAATGATTCCGCGCTGACTTTCTTCGTTTTTACCCATCATCGTGTAACTCTTTCCAGCACCTGTTTGTCCGTAAGCGAAAATGCATACGTTGTAACCTTCAAAGGCATGGTCCAACATTTCAAGACCAATGTCTTCATAGACTTTAGTCTGTGACGCAAAATTGCTGTCATTTGGCTGGAAGAAAGAAAAATTACAATTAAAATGTGTGAAATGATCTCACTGTCTATTAAAATAAAAATCTCTTGAAAATATTTTAAAACAGCCACAGGCATTACTTGAAATGAAAACAGACAATTTTATAACTTGTAAGAAAATATTGTTAATTTAGGTTGATGCTTATTAAGCTTAGCTTAGTTTGGCATAAAGCTGTCAGCATAGGGCACCCAGTGAAGATTGGATTTGCTACATTGCAGTAATGGTAATGGTAATAGCTGTTTCCCTATAAGTAAACATTTAGCATTCATTGATCAAGCAGCCAGTACTGTTTTCATTTGAAATTTATAAAATCTTTCACATAAACACTTTTTTTTTTTTTAAAGAAAACAGGTTTGTAAAGTCCACTAGCTGTTATCACTCTTTCCACTATTGATGGGGGTTTCCTTCCTAACCTTTTATTTGAAGTAGCATGGAATGTCAACATCTTGATTATATCATTATTTTCTCTTCAAGTTACAGGTGCTATCCATTTTAGTTGTTGCTGCTATTGGTAGTCATCAAATGATGTGGTCTCTGTTATTTGGTATAGTTCTTTGTGAAATGTAGCGCCAGTTCACAATTTTCAAAGGATGATCTTAGCCAATACCCTTAGGTTTTACTTGTTCAAAGCCTTTTTTCACTATTGATTTTAGAAAGTGGTTGAATACAGCTGACAGTTTAGATATTCCTGAATGAGTTTGGCACCATGCATAACATCCATATGAAAGTCTTGATCTAACAACATTATTTAAGAACATGACAAGAGTTTTCAGGTTGAAGTTTTGGTTTTGTGGCAATTTGTGGTGTTGCGTGAAACTACCTCTAACACAGTTTATTCAATGTTCAGTTTCCCTTTCTCCTATACTTAATTTGCTATAGCTGATCCATATACCAATGTATCTGAAGTGTTTTGTATTTACTAATTCCACATCCTGTATTTTTATGATGGATTCAGGTTAGGTGCCATCACTGCTTTCCTAATTTATCTATATGTGGGTAGCATTCGTGATATCCGTTTTATAACTGCAATGCGTGAAAGTAAAATTTCATCTTTGACCTACTCGATACTAGTTGCAGCCACCCTACAACAAGACCAAGTTGTGGGACTGATGAGGATGATGAAGGTGGAACTTCTCGTCTTACATGAATTTAAATTTCATGAAAAGTGACAAATAAAAGATGAAAATATTGTCTGAATTTCTGGGATGAGGAGTCATCATCATTTGCACTATTTACATTCAGACTATTATCCTCATCTTTGATGAAGTGTTCAATATTTTATGGCAGTCAAGCTTGGGATCAAATCTGTTCCCACAGGATTCTGTTCCCTCATCAACAATCCAAGGGTGGCTGGCTGATAATCCTCATGATCAGGTCATCTTCAACGTATGGCTTACCTTTTTTTGTAAATCTTGTGTAGTATCAATAAAAGCATTAACCAGTGGATTTTTTTTACTGAACATGAAACATACACCACACCCGCAATTTCAGAAATGTTCTAACATAGTGTTCTCACCATAACTATTAGGTGTTTATTATAGCTACTCATGTCAATCCCAGGCAGGTTATCTTGGAATATTTTGGACAATAAAAGAACAGAATGCAAAACCAATATCTTTTGCTTTTTGTTTTTTTAAATCCTGTTCTTTTGTTTTTTCTCCACAATAAAAATTTTCTCAATTTCTTTCACTGTCAGTTGCTTATTGCTGGTTTTGTAGCCTTGCTTGTGGTAAAATGATTAAAAAAAATATCTACAGAACACTATTTTAAGAATATTCTGAAAAAAAAAAAAAAAAGTAAAGATACAAATTGCAACCTAGTTTTAAAGTTGGTTTTCTGACAACAAAAGTAGCAAATATGTAAGGCAAATTATTGGCAAAATTCTTCAGAATAAACTGTGGGAAAATTGTCAAAGAAATGCTGATGGGAAGAGATTACTTACATCTGTGTGTGACCAGTATGAGTAATCAAAATTGAAGCTTTTATATTGGTTATCTTTGGGCCCTGGTTTTGGATTCTGGATAGCTGCAAAATAAAAATAGAGAGGGTTAAGTAATAAAAAATCAAAAATAAATATAGGAAAACAAAAGGCAAGGAAGGACCTCACTCCCCATCAATACTGGAAGGCACATTAATTACAACTGGACTATTTTTCTGAAAAATTGTTTTAAGAGAAAGATTTTTATAAATTTCTACCAACAACAAGTCAAAATCTTTGGTCAATGAATGCTAGCTGGCTAATATTAGCATTACCATAGGACAAATAATACTAAATTACCATTACCATAGGATAAATAAAAAGGGAATAAATGGTTTTATTTTTAAAAATTGAATTAAAAAGCCAATATTAAAAAATGAATTTGTAAGTTTTTTTTTTTTAATATTATCATTGACACATATCTTGAGTTCTACGTTTATAATTCATGTCTATATTTTGTGCTTTCATTTTTGCACTAGGGTGCATTTAGGGCACAAATAAAGGTAAGCTATGTAGGATACTTAGCATTAAATTACATCACTTCATCCTCCATAGTTTACCTTGACTTTCACAGTTAGCCTGAATAATATTTATGAGCATTTTTAAATTTTTAAAATCTAATGATAATTTTTACTTCTCTTTATGAATAATTCTTACAGCTGCCCTGATAAAATATATACATAATATATATATATATATATATATATATATATATATATATATATATATATATATATATATATATATGCATGTTTCATTAAATAACAACACACCAACGAAGTCAAAATTACAAAGAGTGAACATTATCTATGAGTTCAAATGCCCTTTAAGGAACTGCTTTCCTCACCAAACCGGACTCATAAATAATTATATCGGCTACACAACCACATGTTTATCCAGACGTCTTACATTACACCTATCTGATCACAGTTCCATCAGAACACATTTAAACACACACTCAGATTTACCCGACACTATTAGGAACATACTAGTAGAAAACACTAATATATTAACTGCATCCACTTGCAAAAAAAAAGACTAAAAATAATGGAAGCTCTAATAATAAAAAAAGAAAAAGCCAACTCTTAACAATATCAATTATGAACAAAGCCACAATGTGCTAACCATATTCGGAAACTAAAACATCACTACCACACACTGAACATACATAGAACACACACTCTACTAAGCTGATAATTGAACCATCCTTGATAATGGCTAAAGGTATAGCCGAAAGCGCTCGGAAACACAGAACATTCGGACATTTCTTACACACTACCTACAGTACCTTGTCTGTTGTTTTTAATGAAACATGCATAAAGGAAGGATTGCTGCCTAATTATACAAATATATATATATATATATTAAAACACTCCCTTTATCCTTGGGTTACATGTACAAAGAACTACAATGGATGCCTGAAACTACTGGGTTATTCCTTATACATACATATACTGTAATAAAAGTTATGTGATGAATAGAAGATTCATTCTTACCGTAGATCTTATTAGGCACAGTAAGAGATTAACAACAATGACTAATAATAAAATAGAACAATTATAACAATATAGACTGTAATAGAAGTTGTCATAGATAGAAAACAAGATCTTATTGTAGCTAACTCGGCATATTTGTTTTTTCTCCTTGTAAAAACATATTTACCTTTTCACTTAAAAGAAGCACTTTACAAACACCTTTCACAACTTTGCCTTGGAAACATAATTGACTAAAACTTATTGTTCATTTTTAGGACTGGCAGTAGCTAACCGAAACAGCAGAAAATGAAATTGACATAAGAGGGGACCACTGTGTATGTGTGTGTGCATATATATATATATATATATATATATATATATATATATATATATATATAAAATTAATGGTGAGAGTTGAATTAGACCAGAAAACTGGGAAATTTTTAAAAAAAGCAAAATCTTGCAACATCTACAACCTTTGTCAACAAGAAAAATTAGCTATAATAACATTTACAGACCAAAAACACTTTTTGATTTTTTTTTTCTTTCTTTTTATGTGCTGTGTCCTTTCAGGGCATAGGGGATCATGGCTCCCCACTTCCCCCTATCCCTTGTAGCTCTCTGTAAATTTTGTCCCTCTGCCACCTCCTCCAGACCACGCTTTGTCATCCACCTGCTTAAGCTCTCTAGATATGTCATGTGTTGCTTTCCCTTGTTTCTCTTTCCCTCTATTCAACCTCTATTCAAAATTCTCTAGGCCCTCCTTTCTCATTACGTGCTCCAGAAACTTCAGCTGCCTCTTCTCCGATATTATGTATAAGCCTCTTCCTTGTTTGCATCCTCTCCATGACCTCATCGTTGCTCACATGCTCGGTCTATGATATCCTCAGTATCCTTCTGTAAAACCATATCACTTTGAATCTCTTCTTCATCTTTGAGGAGACTGTCCAACATTTCAGAGATTGAAAATTATGACCTGTTGTATACATACTAAAAAGTTCCTTTTGAGTTCATACGAAGTGGGATGAAAAGAAAGTATGTACATTTAACTTAATCCCCAACTGATACATTTGCAATACACTTGATTTTCTCTTCCTCCTCACCTTCTATAACACCTCACATCATGCGCATATTCATTTATTTATTTTTTTAAAAATATAGCGTTCATGAATTTTTTAATTTAAATAAAGTTAAAGTTTTAGAAAATCAATTGACTGAAATTGCCTGAAACAACTTAAAAATCAGGAGGTCAATTAAAATAGGTGACCATGGATTTGACTTGACGGACTTTTCGCGTGATTCTTTTAAAATGAATTTTAAAAAGTATCGTCAGCTTGAAACCAAGGTCACATATTTTAATTGACCTCCTGATTTTTTAAAGTTAAAAGCTCTACATGTTATTTCTATTTTTACTTATATTTTTTTTTACCTTTATTTTATATATATATATATATAGGCATCTCGATGTGGTGTAATGGTTAGCAAGCTTGTCTCACTAAAACAGTTATGAGTGAATAGTGAGTTTGATCCTCACTGGATGCCCCATACTTTCAGCCTTGTGCCACATCTAAGCTACACTTAGAAAATCATTCAGGGCACCTCGAGGTGGTGTAATGGTTAGTAAGATTGTCTTGCTAGAACAATTACAACTGAGTAGTGAGTTCAATTCTCACTGGATGCCCCTTACTTTTGGCCTTGTGCCACATCCAAGATATGTTTGGAAAATCACTATATATATATATATATATATATATATATGTGGATATAGATAGATACTCGAGTATATAAACAGTTATCTATAAATTAACATGTGGATGCGTGCATAGAATGACAGTTATCATCACAGAAAGTATATTTGGCATGTTATGTCCAAATTCCACCAAAGACCATTCCATTTGCACAAATATTCCTGGGAAATGTGTGAATCCATCTCTTCTTCCTCCAGTTGTCTTTCACCTAGACTGGTTGCCAATCAAAGCAAACTATGAATTCAAACCAATTTGGCATAGAACTAACAAATCCAAACCATAAAAAAAATAAATAAATAAATACAACCTATATGCTATGGAAACTTCAGTAGCAACACCTAGTGTGGAGAGGCTGTGGCCCAACACACCAAGTGGGGGGGGGGGAATTTAAAGGTTTAACACATAGATTTAGATACATATGTTAGGAAAATCTGTAACAAAGTGGAAAAAACTATTGTGTGTCATCATTTAGAACTACAATGGATGAAAGTGATGTTTATGTTGATGTTATTACACGTGCATGAATGAAAGGGGACACTGAAAATTTTAAATTTAATTTTTTTTTGTTTTGGGTATATAGTCGAGCCGATTTCATTTAGTTGCTTTTTGTTTATGTTTTTCACTACTGTTGTTAAATATCCCACATTGCAATCACAGATCTGCCAAGAACCAAGACGTAAATTTACTGTGACTGGTTTAGTGATTATCCCATACATATAATGATGAACGTACGGATAAAGAATCTTATTTTATTACGATTTTAAAAAGAAATTTAACTTGATTTGAATGTGTGTCATAAGAAGCCACAAGCTTGATATTGTGTATAGAACATACCCAGCTGTGTGTGAGAAAACATATTCTGGAATGTGTCCGTACGCTTAGCAGTTACAGACTTGCCTTTTGGCAAGTAAACAAGGACAGAGAGATAAATAACATGAAGCATATGTTTATTCTTCTTTTCTCTTAACCTTTCATTGTTTACAATTGTCCAAACACAAAGCAATGCCAAGGTTAAATTATTTCTCTTAATTTCCTCTACAGCACAATGCATACTGAATATATTTGTACATAAGCCAACCTCATGTATAGTATAAACCCTAAATTTTTTTGCATGAATTTTAACCCTGCTAGAAAAAAAATTACCTGTATATAGTACAATTGGTCACTGAAAATGCATGAATTTTTTTAACATCTTCAAAAAAATTAGCCGGGTATAGTGCAACCCCTAATTTTTGCTTAAAATACTGATCATAAAAACTCACACTATGCTCGAATATATACAATATTTTGTTCCAAGTTATTAAAATAATAGTGTTATTTTATAGGTTGTAAAATTCCCACCAGCATGACTATTTCACTTTATTGACTGATTTGTTTTTTTAAAGCTTATCAACTTTTTGTGTTCTATTTAAAGCTAAAACATTTTTGTTTGTAATAATATTTTTTTTTTTGGTGAGTAAATATTGTATTCAACAATTTTTTGGAGAATAACAATGATTTTTCTAGGTACACATCCCACTATTTAAGTCATATCTGAGGGAGATGGATTCATACGTTTCCCAAGGATATTTGTGTGTAAGTTTGCACTCCTCTCTAGTCTTTTGCACAAGAGTAGAAGGTTTATCCCTTGTTTCCTGCTTAGAATTGCAGTTCTGGTTCCTTTGAAAATCTTCTAATTTTCACTCCCAGTAGCCCCGTGCAGCTTAGTGGCCTTATTGTTTTGTTTGGGGTGAATTAACGAAAAAAAAAAAAAAAGTGAATGTAATGAACCCAACTGGAGTTTGAACTCAGTTCTCCAATTTCCTATTCAGAGCTGCTATCCATTAAAACAACCCATTATAGTCATAAGGGCACCACATGTACTGCAGCCAGTGCAGCACTGATGTTTCTGAGGGAAGATAGCCTGATGGAGCCTAATTCTCTCTAGGCTGGTTTGAATTTTTTGTGTTTTTCTTCTCCTAGACTGTTTGCCAACCAAGGCTATAGGACCCTGTCTATCCTGCTATCTACCTATAACTGGGGTGAGGATAAATGGATTCATACCTATTTGCACATAATAACACTAAATATAATGTTTATAGTAATTAGAAATAATGCTGGATAAAAAGTCCTTTAAAAAAATATATTTTTTAGCGTCTTCACTCAACAGCTGACAAGAAAGTTGCAGATCAGAGTTGAAATATATTTTCAAAATAAACAAACATTGAGGGATTAAACAGGGTGTTGGCTTTACTCAGAGAGTATAATTTCAACAGACATTACCCGGATGAGTAAGTCCAGCTTCTTTGTTTATTCCTCATCTCATGAAAAAAGAACAGGTATATCTGAATATTTTGACTTTAAAAAAAATCTTTCTCTTTGTGCTTCAATTTAGTAAAAGGATAATATAAATATCATCCACTTCATTGGCAATAATCTTATGATTTTGTCAACATTTTATTCCTCAAATTTTATTAACCAGCTTATATATATATATATATATATATATATATATATATATATATATATATATATGTGTGTGTGTGTGTGTGTGTAATCAAATGCATTAGTTGGTTACTGTAATGAGCCTGATGACAATTTTGACATAAAAATGCTACTCTGATCAAAGGAGAAAAACAATTCCCTAAGACAAAAATGTCTAGAGAGTGCCTTGATTTCAAGGTCATCCACAGTGAATTTGCACCCTGGCTGTTACAACATTTCAACATTCGTAACAGATCTTCTATTATAACAAATAGTGTGGGATAATCTCATAACAAAAGTGATGGAAAGAAAATTGGAGAGATTATATATATATATATATATATATGTATATATTATATATATATATATATATAAATTTAAAAATCCCAGCATCCATCATTCGTGTACATGTGCAGTCACACCAACATAACAAATTTAGTTCGATGCAGTCCTAATGGACAAAACACATTGCGCAAACACTTTTTTCCACTTTGTCATACATTTTTCCCAAATATTGTTTTTGATATATAAAAATGTATATATCATTATCTCGTGTGTGTATGTGTGTGTGTGCATACATTTTTTTTGACATTTTCTTTTCTATAACTGCTTGCTAGGGATTAATATTTAATTTTAGGAATTAAGACATAAATTTTGATCTCTTGCAGCTGAAATCAGTGGATTGTGGTACCTGGTAATTAAGGACTCTGGAGATAATCTTTTGAATAACACTTAACCTGTTAATCACTCAGTCATAATGTTGGTGGTGCATTCAGTGTTCGGGAGCTACATTTTTAGATAAAGGATGCCACTACCAATTTGATCACAGGTTCAAATTAAAATTTTTCTTTCTCAGGAATTTAGGCTGTTTGATATGATATCCACTCAGCATCATGGTGTTTGGAGTGATCACTAGTGATGATGATGTTATTCCTCATTTCATCATCCCACAGGGCCTAAGACTCAACTGAGAGGACTACATCAAGTGCCTTGAGGAGGTAGTGCTGCTCTGGATCAAGAGGGTGGCTTCTGGAAGACTTTGTCTAGCAACAAGACTCTGCACTATGCCACACAAGCAGGGAACCCAGTAATGGCTGTCAGACAATTTCTGCGATCACATCAACCCTTACATCTGGCCACCTAACTTCCCCAGACTGCAACCCCCTTGATTATTATGCTGAGCAAGAGACCAACATAACTCTTTGTAATACCAAAGGATTATGGCAGCATTCACCAATATAAACAAGGAGACCATCCAGAAGAGTTGCAGGAGATTCTGAAATCATCTGGAGGCCGTATTTTGAAGCCAATAGCGATTTTATTGAATAAATTTACTCTTTAGTATTTCAAGATATTTTTGTGTAATTTTGGTAAATATATTTCTTAAAATGAGATGTCAGTGTTATTTTCATTTCTGTGTCATTTTGATGACAATTTATCCATCGCACCCTGTACATACATACATACATATATATATAATGTACACACACAAGAGTACTCCTGGATTTGATACCTTGCAGCTTCATTCTGTGAAGATAGGCAAAAAGTATACAGGACAAAAGACAGAAGCATTAAAGAAATAATATTGATTAAGAAGCAGATATAGATAAATATACTTCCACCTTCCAGTCAGAATCAATACCCTTACCAGTTGAATTGGAAAAGGATATTGAACAGGTTGGTACTCATGTTGAGATACAATCTTAAAGATTGTTATTTTCTAAGGGAGTAAATACAATGAATTGAAGAATTATTTTCTGCAAATCAGGCAAATTTGAAAATTGTAGACTTAATAACCATTTAGTAAAATGCAGTCTATATATATTACTTACTTGTGGTGTTTCCTGACATGTCAATGATGCAAGTGGATTCACGAGATATTTCACGACTATTGAAAGGGCGCACCCTCACTGCAACTTTTACCGAAGACATGGTGAGCTGCCTGCAATTAAAAGACAAAAACATAAATCATTTTTTAATAAAAAGTACATAAGATAAACCTTTTAAAAACTAGATATTAAATGAACACATTTTTGTTAAAGTGTTTTTTAATGTGTTAAGACATCACATGAAAACAACAGATTGCAATTATTATCAGGCTGAAGGAACATTGTCAATTATTGTAAGTTATTCTCAATATTTATTTCAGTTGAGAATGATATTGGGATAATCTGGAACATTTACTGACAATAAAACACTTGCATACACATAGAAAATGAATTGAGAAAGTAAACAAAAATATGAAAGGAACATAAGAGAAGGAAGTGTCTTTTCACCAGACTTGTTCAACCTTTACAGCTAGGCAATCCTCAGAGAACTACCAGGATTTATTGGTGGACCCAATCTTAATGACATCTATGTAAATGAGACCCTGTTGATGGTAGACACAGAAAGAAAACTGCAGGAACTCCTAGACAAGGTAGTAAAAGAAAGCCAGAAGAAAGGACTAACCATTAACTATAAGAAGACAATGTATGGTTATTACTAAAAGGAGAATCCTAAGATGCAAGTTATGATGAGCCAGAAATGCGATTTGCAGGTTGGGAACACTAAAATCAAGCATGTGCGGAAGTTTAAATATCTTGGAAGTGTTTTGACGGAGGACAGTAAGTGCGATACTGAGATCCGTAGACGTATTGGGATGGCCAAGGACACATTCCAAAAGCTGGGCAGAGTACTGTGAAACAGGAGGAATTCTTTGGTGACAATAAAAAGAGTACTGAGCTGCTACATGACATCTGTCCTCCTATATGGCAGCAAATGTTGGATGAAGAAGAGACTTGAGGCAGTGGAGATGTGGTTCTACAGAAGGATGATAAGGATAACATAGAGCAAGTGTGTGAGCAAAAAAAGTCTTGGAGAGGATGCAAACAAAGAGGAAACTTATACTTAACATAAGGAAGAGGCAGATAAAATTTCTGGGACATGTAATAAGAAAGGAGGACCTGGAGAATCTGATACTCACAGGTTGAATAGAGGGAAAAAGAGACAAGGGAAAGCAATGCATGACATACCTGGTGGGCTTAAACAAGTGGATGGCAGAATATGGTCTGGGGGAGTTGGTAGAGGCACAAAACTTATTGAGAGCTACAAGAGATAGGGGAAGTGGAGAGCCATGATTGCCTACATCATGAAAGGACATGGCACATAAAAAGAAAAGAAAAAGCAAATAGAGGAATTTAACTATCTGATAAGAAATTTGAAGGCACATTGGAATAGTAAGAGATGCTTTCCAAAAGAGAAACAAAGTATTAAGAAAAAGGAAAATATTTTTACAAACAAAGAAAAGGGTGCTGAATAGCTATGTAATATCAATCCTCCTATATGGTAGTGGACGATGGACAAGTTCCTCAAAGATGAAGAGGTGACTTGAGGCAACAAAAACAAAAAATACGGTGATGAACAGTTATCTAATATCAATCTACCTGTATAGCAGTGGATGATGGACAATTTACTCAAAAGTGAAGAGGAGACTTGAGGCAACAGAGATGCGGTTTTTACAAAAGGATGCTGAGAACACAGTCAATGGAACATGTGAACAATGAGGAAGATTGAAGAAAAATGGGTAGCAAAGGGAAAGTGCGGCAGAAATATATCCCACATAAGGGTAAGCTAGATGAAGACACCATTGCTTAGCATTATGCGGGAGGTATTTCTTCCATACCCTGTACCTAGAACCATAAAGAGATAATTGAAATTTTGGAAAAGAAAGAAGACTTGAAGAATTTGACACTCACAGAACATATTGAAGGCATGAGGGAGATAGGGAAACCTCATGTAACCTGCCTTATGATCTTGTTTAACTAGATAGCAGGGGAGGCACTGAGAGGGATAGTAAGCGGACAAACATGGATGAGCCACAAAAGATAAGAAATTGTGGAAAGCCTTAATCACCTATGTTCTGAAAGGCCATGGCACATATAAAAAAGAAGCAACAAGGAACCTTTTCTACTTGTTTCCTCCCCTACTTTAATGCTGTGACCGACTTAAGTCATTATGTTGGTCACAGTAGGGACCAGATAAAGGAATTGAGGGGGAAAATAGAGAAGGAAAGTGGGGTAGAGGAAAACATCCAGTAACCTACCTAGGAGGCACAGTAGAGTAATGCATAGTGGCTCAGATTGAGAAATCAGAGAGCTGAGTTCAAATTCCATTGCATTCATTTACATGCTAATACCCTTGGTAAAAGTATAAATCCTCTTCTTAACCCCCAGCTATGGGTAAATAGCAGGACAGACCGGGTTCTATAGCATCAGATGAAAACTGGTCTACTGCAGAAAGAAATGGCAACCTACTGAGAGAAAAAAAATCTGCCTCATCAGTCATGTATCTTTCGATACATGATCACCCAAGTACATATCATGCATAGCACATAACTGAACCTACCTAACGAGCTAGTGTGAATGGATGGTAGAATGAGGACAAAGAGGGATGGTAAAGAGAAAAAGTTTGATTAAAGCAACAAGGAACAGGAAGTTGCTGATGGCCATAATCATTCACTAGTGAAAGGACACGGCACATGAAAGAAATATCTATTTTCACTTTCTCTTTTAATATGTATAATCTAATTTCTCTGTGTCTTTTAATAGATACAATCAATTACACTCTCTTTTTTTAGTATATACCTAATCTATTTTCAATCACTCTAAATATAATTTATTTTCACTTTCTCTTTTAAAAATCTATTTTCACTCTTTCTTTTAATATAGACAATCAATTTCACTCTCTCTTAAAATATACAGGGTGTATCAGAAATACCTCCCACATAGTAGTAAAAAATTAGTAGCAATGGTGTCTTCCTCTACCTAATGTCTTATCATTATGTGGGGGGTATTTCTGTCACACCCTGTATAATCTATTTTTTGTCTTTCTTTAATCTATTTTCAAACCTGCTTTTAATATCTGGCAAAATTCTAGTGACAGATAGGCATGTCAAATATTTTATGAAATTAAAATCTACAATATCTTTATAATGCACAAAATTCAGAAGGCTTTATTCTTGTTTATTTGTAGTGAGGGAAACAGAAAAAAGCAAAAATATTGAATTCTTTGAAGAAAAAAATCTTTTTGTGTGTGGACATGCCAATCTAAAGTTAAGGAGAATTTAAAAATGAAACCCAGTCAAAATTCCTCAAAGAAAAACTCAAAGGTATGTTTTGGGTCAGTGAACAAATTAGCATCTCTGTGCCACTAAATCATCTTCCTTGCAACACTTCTCTAGTCTCATTCTTTAAAGGATTTCAACACCTTTTTTGGAATAAAAAAAATGAGTTAAGAAAACAAAAAACCCTCCACAGAAAAGAGAATCAATAATGTTTGGATTTGCTCATCCCAGTGAATGAGCAAGAAATGAAAGGACAAAAGAAACAAACAAAGCATACTCCCTATATCTGAGGGGTAGTTGAATCCGAAGGTGGGTAGGTTGCTTGCAGAATATGTTTCTTATCCGTATGCACATTGCACATACACAGATTAAGGTTTTTGAAAACAGCACAAAAAAAAAAATAAAAAAAAAAAAAAAAAAAATTAAACTGTGTAAATAAAAAAAAAATCAGTTATTTAAAAAGCAGAGAAAGAGACTGAAGAATAGGAAAAATAAAAATTGGTAACAGTCCACCTTTTTTGTGCCCATTCCCTTCAGGACATAAGCGATATGGCTCTCCACAATTTCCTATCCTTTGTAGAGCATAGTAAAATTTGTATTTTTGTTATATCCCCTAATCTCCGTTCTGCCATACATTTACACAAGTTCATTTGGTAGGTTATGGTGCTGCTTTTCTCTGTCCCCCTGGCCTTCACTATATCCTGTGAGTATCAAATTTTCCAAGCCCTCTTTCCTCATTATATGCCCTAGAAGTTTTAACTCTCTTTTTGATGTTAAGTATAAGTGTCATTTTCATTTCCATTCTTTCTAAAACTTTGTTGTTGCTCACATGTTTGGTCAATAGTATTCTCAACATCTTTCTGTAGAAACATATTCCTGTTGCTTTTAGTGTATTCTTCCTCTGTTGTAAGTATCCACTGTTATATAGTTGGACTGATATTACAAAACAATTCAATATGCTTTTCTTTGTTTCAAATGAAATTTTCTTGTTTCGTAATGCTTTGATCAACTTTTGGAAAGTAACTTTCACTATCCCAATACACATTTGGACTTCAGTGTCACATTTTCTGTCCTCTGTTAAAAGACTTCCTAGGTAGTTAAATTTTTATACTTGTTTAATTTTGATATCCCTAATTTGTAATTAGAATGTTGGGCTGTGTCTTTTGCTGACAACCATAATATTCTGTCTTATTACAATTCATGTTTAATCCTTTCTTGTTGCTTTCCTTCTCTACCTTCTGCAGGAGTTTCTGTAGTTTCATTTCTGAATCTGTTATCAATATCAACCATCTGCATATCTTATGTTATTAAGATTGTGGCTGCAAATGGCTTTATTGCCTTGCTTTGGGTTAAAATGGTTAAAAAAAAAAAAAAAAAAAAAAAAAAAAAAAAAGAAGGACAATGTTGGGCTAATTCAACAATATTCCCTATTATAAATAAAAAAGCAAGACAATGTTGGGCTAACATGTCAGTATTTCTTGAATCAAAAGAAAGCAAGACAATATTGGGCTAACCTGTCTATTTGTTGAATCAAAATAGACGAAGACAATGTCGGGCTAACCTATCAATATTTGTTGAATCCAAAGCAAACAAGACAATGTCGGACTAACCTGTCAGTATTTGTTGAATCAAAAGAAAGCAAAACAATGTCGGACTAACCTGTCAGTATTTGTTGAATCAAAAGAAAGCAAAACAATGTCGGACTAACCTGTCAGTATTTGTTGAATCAAAAGAAAGCAAAACAATGTCGGACTAACCTGTCAGTATTTGTTGAATCAAAAGAAAGCAAAACAATGTCGGACTAACCTTTCAGTATTTGTTGAATCAA